AGACTGGCTATGCAACACCTTCTCTTCACAGACTGCCCATGCAACACCTTCTCTTCACAGACTGCCCATGCAACACCTTCTCTTCACAGCCTGCACATGCAACACCTTCTCTCTTCACAGACTGCCTATGCAACACCTTCTCTTTCCAAATGCAATGTTTATAGTTGTTGATCTGAACATTTAATAAAGAGTTAATTTTGTAAGCACTGGACAATTTGGATAACTGTCTACCAACCATACCGGTGCGATTGAAGGTCCCGTCATGCCTCTTAATCACTGTCACGAACAGTTGATCAATCTTCGACATACTCATGATTTCCTGGCCATCAATCACTATCTCTGTTGAACATCTTGTAGCCCTCTTGGTGCTCCATCTGAAGTTCACTCCTTTAATACAATCATACAGTAAACAACACTTTTAATACCGGTCACTTCATCCTAACAGATCTTCCCATTACACTCCGTTGAACCTATCTTGAAAAAATGGAAGTGGAAAAATAAGACGGGGTGACTTGGCCTTACTGTGGAATTATGCTTGTACAATTCATTGAGTCAGAATGGTAATTTGATATGCGGGCACTTACTTGCAACTCTGCAGAATGCCCTGCACAAAAGATAACTACGAGTAAAACAAGTTTTGCCTGTACGTACTTCAACTTGCCAATATTTAAAGGTTTGGATAGAATTGATATGAGCCAACAGTTATAAAACAGTGTCTGACTACGTTGACATGCAAATGAGGATACCACAGCACAATTGGAGCTGGAACAAGTGCTGGCTTCCAATCATCACAAATGGTGGCTTTAATCAGAGTTTTAAATGAAATATACAACAAATCATTTCCCTAATAATTGTCAGCATTATTTACCATTACCTATGAACAAAATCTTCATATTTAAAAGGAGCCAAAAATGATGATAGATGCCAATGAAAGACATGAGGCTAAGATTTATTCATTTTTCCCCAAATAGAGGATCTATTTTAAAACTGAGTAAATAAAAAACGGGAAAACACATCAATCAAAAATTGTCTACAGCTTACCCTTCAGGATCCTTGCTTTGTCAGGAACTAAGTATTTGGTTTGTAACCACAGGTGTAATATCGAACCTCCAGAGCGAGACAATCTTTGACTCAAATGTGTATCAAAACATTCTCGTCTCTTTTGCTCTCTGCTGCTAGACGACGCATTCCTGGAAAAGAAATTTAAAAGAAAATACAATTTAAACCATCTTGCTTGTGCTCTTAATCTTATAACCATTTTGTTAAATGTTTGTTAAATTTGTTACCAGACATTTATTTTTGGCACGATTGTCTGCGTTGTCACTGTTATCAGTCCAAATAAAGGCTGCTGCTTAATGTGGACCCGTAATCGGGGCTCTTTGTGTACTCTGTCAGTGCTTGGGTCCTGGAAGGATATATTAAAAAAACAGCTTTCAAGATTTCAAAAGTTTCACCCACTGACATCTACTACATTATATGAGCTGAAATTCCACCACCACGTTCATTACCTATGCGACCAGCCATTCCCAGGTTGTCAATTCAAGGGAATATGCGGGTGTCAGTGGGTAAAACTTTAAAAAGTTTGATAGCTCTTTTCTATATACTTGTACATGTATCCCTATCCAGGACCCAAGAGAAGGGCCTTGTTTATGGATCTACTGCTTGATGCTGCTAGCTCTGGTCAGATTGAATCACACTTCGGCATGGGGATTTGTCTACGTCACAGTAGATGTAAGCAACTTTGCCAACCTGTGGTAGTAAAGTGCATGTTCCTGCCTTATTTGCATATTTCATGGGAAAGGTCCACTCGTTGAGTCCAAGTTACTAGAAATAGCTTCAATGGTGGGTATGATGGGCTTAAACTAAAACACCAACATAGACCTAAATAATTACTATTTAATTTCGAAAGCTATTTCAATCAACATTACCTTGCCTGATTTCAATGTCATTGTAATGCAGCTTACCTTTATCAGAAATCTCTGCCTGCAGTAGCCTATCTTTGACACATAATTCCCATGTCGAGTGACGACCAGCTCAACTTTCCTCCATGATGCATTCAAGTAAACATACAGGCAACACACCAGAATGCCACTTGCCAGACATGCTAGAGTCATGAGAGTCTCGAAGATCTTCCAGAGGAAAATCTTGATCTTGCCCAGAGTTTTTAGGGGAATAAGATGAAGCTTCAGAGGAATAATCTTCGTGTAACTTTCGTTTTCGAGCAGCATTCAGGCGTCTAAAACTCCGGTAACATGTCTCATGAAAACCAATCTACGTGCTTTGCCATAGCCTCTGTACAGATCGTGCGTAGTCCCTCGCAATCGGTTCGTTCGGTCACCGTGATTTCTTGATCTCTGGCGCATACATCAAGCCACACTTTGACATATGAAGTGAACTTTCCCCATCGGACATTCTTAAGGGCTGTTACTCTTTTTTCAAATTTGACTGATTCTTCATGCATTAAACACCTGAAATCCAGCAATGTTGACGTTAAGGAACCGTTAACACCACCGGACGTCGCCATGTTTACTGCTTTGTGCCAATTATACCCGCGACCTTCTTTCCGGTCCCAGATTGGACAGTTTGCATCACGTGGTCAAATTATATCATTCACGAACGATTTTAAACGTGGCGAATTTCGCACATGAACCTTCCCCGACGGCAAAACAGTTGGCTCTTTCCAACCAAATTATTAAAAAACTGCAGAATAACATGTGGAGAACTTTTGCACTTGTGATCTCTGGTAATTTATGCACTCAATTCTGTTAAGGAAATCTATTCCTGCAGTTGACGAAACGAAAGAATAATTAAATAGGGGTTCAGGGGTTAATAGGGGTTCAGCTGACAGCCTATTAGGGTTAATAAGCGTACATATGGTATAATGCCTATTTTTCTGTTGTTTTTATTTCACCGGGAGTTGTCTTGTTTGTATGTTTATGCAATAACGTAACAAAGGACCAATGTATTGGACGGGTCCCCTAGAGTCCTGAAGAATTCTTCACAGCCGTGATCCTCTTATTCATCACTTATTATGAGGGCTTTCATGTTTGATTTCGAAGACTTCACCTTTATATCCTCATGATTTGGCAACAGGTGCAAAGATCCACCTAATCCCTAAAACAATCCGCGGCATTTGAACCCTGCCATTTACTTAGAGTCACTGGCATTGGCTAAACGATTCACATGCCATTCACGTCTGCGCCGCGACACAGCGCAGTCAACAGTGCCAATTAACGCGGTAAATGCGTTATCTCTTCACGTGTACACCGCTAGCGCTGGGTACTGGTGCTGGTCAAATTTGAGTTCTGCTGTAAAGGTGAAGAACGATTAAACTGTAATGTGCGCTGGGTTGTTATATTCTAGGGAAATATTTGTCTCATTGAGTCAACTGGCCCTGCTCACGAAACTAATAAACACAATTGGCTTGATGGTATTAACTTTGCGTGAAGACATAAAACCAGTTGCGACAGTCGAAACTGACTTTCCTTCAGGCTTAATCTGCAATAAAAAGTGACGTTGTATGAAGACACCCTGCCCACAAAAAATGGTGTTCCAAGTTGTCGTTTCAAGAGTGCAGTTTCAAAAGTACTTTTTTTTTCAAAATCATGCTTGTCATATTTGTTTTCCCTGAGGGGGGAGTTAATGGTTCTGGTTGTAATAGAACTTACCAAATGACCGGCATTAGTAGATCCAGCCAGGGAGTGATCCAGGAATTTTGCGGGGGGCGATAGTTCTGTCGCCGCTGGTGGAGCCATTTAATTGCTTTCTTTGTCCTTGACCGAACAGGGTTTATGCTTTTTGGGGGGGGGTCTTTCAACCTATAGACGTGGGCCTAAAAATATGGCCGAGGGACCCCCACCCAAACCCCTCTGGATACACCGCTGGTCTCTATATGCACTTTTACAACGTTTGCTGCCTGCAATACGTGCAGTTGAATTTTCTAACAGATCAGATGAACCTACTTCAAGCAGTGGAAGGAAGCGTACGGAAGGTACAATACCTAGAATGTACGTGGTTGTCCCCAAAGATGTGGAGAATGCAGAATATTTGCATGGTTCGATTCCTGAAATATGTGTGACATGCGATTCTAAGGCCAAGGACCAAAATTGTGGGGTACTAGCTCTCAATCAAGCTATATGGTGAAATCAATATTTGTCTTGGTCTTTGCATGGAGTCAAAGACTACACGGAGGAACAAAGAAATAACAAGAAAGAATTACATACCTTTCTGCCAGCGAAAATTTCCATAAGTCATATTCCAAAACAATCCAACTATGAGGAAAACCATTGCAACGGACACACAGGGTAAAAGGCGTCGCATACGGTAGGGCACCATGTTGCTTGAAATGGTCGGTATCGCGAGGTGTTTTCACAAAAGCAGGACAAGCAGAATCTTCGGGCATCGAATTCAATTCCCTAACCGTTGACGGCTATTTCTGGAGGTTTGTGGGCAATATGCGCATGCACGATATTCTCAGCTATGTCATGGGGGCGCTTTCGTTGTATTCTTGTTTCATGACGCTGCTTGTTGGCCGAGTGACACACCCGTCCTCAATTTGTTATTTATTTATTTATTTATTTTTATTTATTTATTTATCCAGGGTATGCCAAAACAGTTTACTAGAACTGATTTCCATTGGGGCACTGCAAACAATCATATAAAGGGTACATGGACAATAAAAACAAAGCTTTAAATTTTAATTAGAAACTTTCACATATGTATACAAACATTAACACTGTGCAGCAAAACACATGAAACATCAATATTATGAACTTTGTTAGAAAGACAAGGCACACGTTAAATGCACAATAAATGAACGACAAGAAGTATTACACTGCAATAATGACACTCTTGCCTATTTGGGCAGAGATAAAATCCTACAAAAGCAAACCTTATTTTTGAGGGGAAAAAAAGGAGAATTTCCTTTCAGAACCTGGGAGAAAATTTAATTCAAAGCGACCTAGTCGCACGACTCCGTTAAATTCACCTTTCCTCCTTTAAATTTGAAGTCCATTAATGTTGGGTACATGTATATGTTTGACGGAGGGTCGATTTGAATAGGCTCAAAGGAGACAAAGTTGAGCATACAGATTATTCCAGATATGGGCTGCAGATACCGGAAGGCTCGAGGCGTAAGAATCCTTTCGTGCAACAGAAATTTCTAGTGTCTTCCCGGCAGATTGACGAGTTTGTCGATCTTGAACATGTGGCGAACATAGACTTTTAAACTGTGGGATCAGAGAATTGATAGTTTTAAAAAGAAGATCAGCTTTCTTGTAATTAACTCTGGCAGGATAGTGAAGAAAGTAAAGTTTTTGAAACATGTCAGCTGGGAGATTTTGAAACACATTTTTATTATTACTTATTATTTAAGATAGCGTTATGACATTTGTATCGGTTACCCCACACTGTGCAATAGTAATCTAGACTAGGCATCACTAAACTTAAATATAAGGTTTACATGTGGTTTTTGTGTTACACAGTCCGTCAACATCAAAACCAAAGACAGTACAGCGCCGAAGGCGCAAGATGGATAACTCTGCCCAAAAGGTGTAATCACCATGGACGCCATTTGAGCAAGCAATACGCCTGTGCGGTTCACGGTAATGCACAGGCGCAGCAGGTGTACCCAGATTTTGTTTTGGATGGACCACTGATGAATCATAGCTAGTGACATGTTAAGGTTATTTTCAATTTCAGCAATGTTTTCGGAATTGCAAACCAGTGTGGAGTCATCGGCATACATAAAACTTACAATTTCTCGATACGACATGAGACAGGTCATACCGGTATGCATATATAATAGATAAAAGCAGACCCGAAATGAATGTGACCATACAATTTTTGCAAGGGACCACAATTTTTTTTTCAATCAATCAGAGTGAAAGTAATAAGTGTCTTCAGAGTAAATACATTATAAGTGTCTTGGATGGAGGCTGTTTTGTATATATAGACAGCGACATTTTGCCGAGGAAATTGTTTTGAGTAACTGCTTAATTGTAACCGCTGCTATCAGTTAATATAAAAGTGGACCAGGTACACAGCTTACGTGTTTCTCCCCCCTCCCCCCCGGCCAACAAAATGGGTCTTGATCCGGCCTTGGTGCCGGTGAGTGGGGATGGGATATCACAATCTCAAAAATAAGGCCATTACGTCCAACTAAAAAATACAGTGCGCCACCAAGAGGTTGCCACAGAGAGTTTAAGGTCCACAAAAACATGGCCGACCCTCTTAGATTCCCATTAGTGCAAAATAATGTTACTACGATTTGAGCTAATGTTCATAGATCGGGGAATTCCTTGCCTTACAAATACAAAAACAAACCACCGTGATTAATTAACACCGATACTCAAAAACACCGTTTCAAATCTTCAACCCAGACAAACAATCAATGGGAACTACCTTCTCAGTAGGGAGAGAACCATATAGGCCTACCAAATAGTTTTACAAGATGCTATTGGTGTGTGAACAAAAATTAATTTTACGAGACGCTATTGGTGTGTGAACGCTGCAAGAGTAGTAGCCAACGGAATACTCTGGCTGATCGTCTTATAACGTAGTAAATCTAACCTCAATCGGTCATCTATGGAGTATTCTCAAAAAGCAATGCTCAATACATTTACTGTACACCACGGGAGCAGTCCCTGTACTTGCATGAAAATAGACCGATTGTAACCACTTTGTCACGTGACCTAGATTGGGTATCAATGGTGTCCTCACAATGTCAACGTCAAGCAGAGCAACAATATCCTGTTTTATTCGTAGCATCGTGACCTACAAATTGACTTTCATGACATAAAAGGGGTTGAAATGGTGCCCAACAATTGAATATAGGGGTAAATCTGGATTGGAATGGGAGGTCCCAGTGCAACATCTGACTAGGGCACAAATTCCACTTCAATATAGGGCCAGACGGATGAACCACCAAATATCGCACGTAGCAGTTGGAGACGTAAAAATCTTGAGACTAGAGAGGTAACATTCATACCATATCTTTTCGATCTTATTATTTGGGAGGTTCTATCAGGCCCAACTATTTCTTTTTATTGAACAGGTAAATTCTCCGACCTTTTTTTCAAAGGAACTCCCAGCGGCAAAATCATTTTTCTTGCTTTCAACTATTTTCGTTGTGGTTTGTTTTGGGTTATCAGCAATTATGAATAAAAGCGGTAATTGCACTAGTATAGACTTTATTTACTGAGAAGTGATCTTGACTTCTACCGACGCTATTCATCATGAATTCACTGGCTTTATAAACGGATCAACCATGAAGCCAAACTATAAAAGGCAATTTCGACATTATTCGCATGTGATATATAGGAAAAAGACAGGGAACACATAGGCGTAATACAAAGATACGCAGAACCGTACAAAATACACTATTTGGGGCACTTGATAGCAGACAATAAAATGACTTCTCAAGGTCTATCTGCAAAGAAATGATACCACAGCCTCTCTAAATAATGACCTTCTTCGGGATTTGGGTGTCTGCTGACATACGCCAGTGCCTTTTGATAGAACTCCCGTGGATGTCTAAGAATTTGTTGCTTAGTCGCACCGAAGCACCCACTCCTGCAGGACTCGATGCCTTCCTTCGGTGGTGGACGCCCGTACAGATTCCTGTACACTTGTCCAAATGTCTCATCCGCCTTGCGCCTTTGCTTATTTTTTAACTTGAATCGAATGTTCCCCCACCATGTCCACATTTCGTAGACCTTCAAGCAAGGGATACCCTTCCTCGCAGAATCGATAAATCGCATAGGATTTTTGAAGCATCTGCCCTTCAGACGGTCTCCCTGAGCAAAGACGGTCACATCGGCGAGGCGGTCGTAGTAGGTGGTGATGTGGTACAGGAAAGCGTGTGACTCTCGCCCGACATTCTCGAGTCGTTCCCAGCCGTAGAACTGGAAGGGTGGTCCCAATGCGTTCCCTTGGTGGTAAACGAGGGTGTGATTGGCGTATGGTCTCAGCCAATCAAGATTCTCCTTGTAATGCGCAATAACAATCTCATAATCTAGAGGGACGATGCGGTCTGTATTTTTCTTAGAATTGGCAAGATCAGGATAACGATACGTCACCTCAGGAACGTCGCCCAGGAAGTCGTCTACAACCTCGACCCCTTGCATAAAGGATTGGTCTTGGTTTCCCACCTCGTATTTCCAACCTCCAAACCGTCCACGGGAATAGATGTCCTTACTTTTTAGCCAAGGTTGTATCGTGTCAAGGATCACGTCCCTCTCACGTGAAGGCACGGGATAACCATGCTCCAAGCGGTGGTAGTGAGTGGAGACTACCGTGTCAGCAGAAATAAACCCGTACAGTACTAACGCTTGAATGGATTCCTTGATCAAGTTTTCTTCACTCCAATACGTTTGATTTGAACTATTTTGTGATTCGGCTATTTCGCAAATAAGCGACCAATAAGCTCCTGGTTTAGGCACATGATCATCTGAAAAATTGGAGAACATTGTCACGCGGTAGAAGGGAGAATCTGAATCTGGAAAGTACACCCAAGATTTATTAGCCAAGGTCTTCGGTATTCGACCAATGAGTCCAACGCCTACGATATGAGTGTGAGTGTATACTAGATGGGATGCTAGTTCTTGCATCTGCCTTAAAGACACATCACTGCTTTTTAGATATGACACGAAGACGTCTAAAGGGACTGTGGATATCAGTATGTCGTATTCCATGTCGCGGTGAAATTTCACATCTAGGCCAGTTTCAACAGTAATTACTTTGTTGTCAATATCTACACCTGTTACCTTTTCATGGAATCTGAACCAGCGCCCTGGAAGCTGTCTAGCAACCGACTCCCAAATTGCACCCGTCCCATTGTATTTGGGAAAGCGGAAGATAAGGCTGTCTCCCCACTCGGTGTTCGCATTATCTAGCTCTTTCATCTTGGTCTCCGCCATTTCTGGTACCACAACCTGCCCACTAACCCAAGCTGAGTTGAGTTCCCTAGGTTCAACAGTCCAGAATTTCTGATTGTATTTCCTCATAAACGCAGCGGCAAGACCCACTCCGAATTTTTGAGGCAGTCTCTCGTCAAATTTCATGGATTTGCTGGCGAGGTCACCTTCAGCACTCTCGCCTGATCCTCTGTGATCTCTTTCATGCATTTTGTGGATGTTTTTTTCAATTGGAAAACGAATAAATTTCCTCTTCTTATCAGATCCTTTCATGAAGGCAAAGGACGCCCTGCTCTGATAATTCCACTTGGGGACCGCCATGTTGAGGACTCGGTCAAAGTAGGTGTAATGGGAGGAGACGACGTGAAAACCGGCGTCCCAGAGAAAGCCTTGACCGTCCCTCACTGACGAGGCTGGGCCTCCTGGTTTGTCTGACTCTTCCAAGATGCTGATGACTGTTCTGTCTGCTTGTTCGAGTTCTTGGAGTCTTCGAGCAGCGCCGAGTGCGGCAGGTCCGGAGCCAATGATGACGACTCTGAGCTTTCCCGGTTCTTCCTCAGTCGATGCAGTATCTCCAGGCGAGATAGGCTGATTTTCTCGTACCATGATTTTCTCAAAATTAGAAAAAACTTTCCGAGGTGTTGTAACAAAGTCAACATCTGTTTGGGAAAGCAAAGACAGAACAAATATGGGTTTATCCGGCTGTTATATTTTTATTCCAATTCACTACCCTGAAAATTCAAATTCGTCTAAGACAAATTTCACGAGGAATTTGAAAACCCAATTTAGTCACTGAACATTCAATTTCGAAGTTTTGTCAACACATTGAACACTGTGTCGAGAAAATTCGTCTTTACAAATGACTGCTGTGTAGTATATCCAGCGGGGCAAGGGGCAACTTGCCCCCCTGACGATTAATGTTTGCAGATTCTTTTCTTTTTTGTACAAAGAATGGGTGTAGTAGGAAAGAAAGCATTCGGTATATCTATTTATCAAATATCAGTACCAAATCCCTTAATTAATAACACTAGTTAATAAAAGCAAGGATGTCGGGACCGTGAGTAAGGCTTTTGCTTTGTTTTTCTTCACAACATCATTTTGAATAAGCCCAAAGACGCATTCGCTTTTGCACATGCTCCCACCTCCCCCCCCCCACACACACACCGAAGTGTGAATTTTCCTGCAACTGGAGACTCCCTATTGTACCTCTTTTGTCTGTACTCCAACTTTTTTAGAATACAATCGGGGACCCTATTTGAATCGGGGATCTTATTGTCCTCTATTGTTCGGGGTCCCCAATTGAATGCAAAACAAACTCACACACACCAAAAGCATAATTATGCCACTCGATAACTGTCTAAACTGTTGCTAGATAAACTTAAAAGATCACATTGGATAAGAGATCAAATGCTGATGTATTATTATTATTTTTATTATTTATTATTAAAAGTGTTTTATTTTGGGTATGCTTCAGTTTTTCCTGACAATTCAGTAGAGTAGTTTCAAAGCAAAAGTGAAACAATGAACGACCCCAAAAGTATGCAAATGCTTTAGATTCGAAATAAATCAAACAGGTTAAAAAAGAAATTGCCAGTGTAAACATTAGGGTTTTTTGGTACTTCTGCGTGCTTCTAAAGGGATTCAAGTGTGTCTATAAGGGATAAAATACATTTATGAATTGAAAGGGAAAAAAATAGACAGTGGAATGTCTTCTTTATGTTTCACCCTGTGAATGTCCTATTCTGCCCTGAGAATATGGCTTTCCCATGCCCATTATTTTTGGTGAAACTCAGCGTATACTGTAGTGAGATATTCATTATCAGTATATGTGAAGTTTCAACTCAATCCGACATATGGCTTTGTTTGTTAGTGTAGATTGAAATTCATGGTCACACGTGTACAAGCCCAAGAAAAGGTTTCCGATTTTGGATGGCCCATCTCGGAAAAACAAGCGCCGCGCGCGGACAGGGTAGGCGTATGTCCGATTTTCACACACCTGGTGTCAAACTGATTGCAAGAAGCAACTAAAAAAAATCCTGCTCAGTGCGTGCGGATTTCATCCTCCCCTGAAGCTTTAGGGCTAATGAGTGTGCCTTTTGTTTAATGCCGATTTTTATGTCGCTTGTATAACTGCATGGCTTGTTTTCATGTCTAAGCAATAAATGCAATAAACGACTAACGTATTGGACCGGGTCACCTATATGAGTCCCGGGCGCGCGCAACCAAGTTCAACACAGAGAGCCTCGATTTCGATGCCGATATGCGAAGAGGCGCTAATGTGAAATCAATCTATTCACGTCTGCGCAGCAACACAGTAAGTCAATAGTGTCAATTATTTCGGCGAATGTGTTAGATTCTCATCCGTACTGGGGTTCTGGGTTCTGGGGTTCTTTCTTTCAGTTCGGCTGCAAAGGTGCAGAACGATTAAGCTATTTGTGCTTAATTGTTATATGGTGAGGAAATATTTCAATCATTTAAGTCAACTGGCCCTGAGCGCGACACTAACAACACAACTGGCTTGATTTAAATAAGCTTTGTGTGAAGGCTACAATCACTTTCAACATTCAAGAATGACTTTCTGTCCGGCTTTATACTGACATCCAGCCCACAAAAAATGGCGTTTCATGAATGCAGTTTCCAAAGTAGGCCTGCGGTTTCGGGGTTTGTTTCCCCGGAAATGAGGCTTGTCATGTGTTGTTTTCCAGCTGAGGGGGGATTTAATGGTTCTGATTGTAATATCACTCACAAAATGGCCGGCATTATATAGTAGTAGATCCAGCCAGGAATGGATCTATCATTTTGGAAGTGACTAGATACTAACCCGTGAAACCCGGTCT